AAGTTTTTTTTTTTTTTTTTTTTTTTTTTTTTTTTCAGTGGTTGCCATGCTCGCTTTGAAATCCTTGAGTTTGTTAATCAAAAATTCGTTAAGTTTACAAAATATGAAACCGATAATAAAACAAAATTCCAAATTTCAAATTTGGGGCCCAATCAGACCTATTCGCATTAGGATTCCATTCAAAATTCGATGGCTCTATGTACTGTGTTTTACAATGCGGAAATATATAACACTTATGCTATTTTTAGTCCAGGGATTGAATCCCGAAGGACTATTAGTTTCGTTTTGGCATTTTGCGTCAATGTCGGTTCACTTTCAAATGTTGCCCAAAAGTTAGAGTCCTGCCTATATTTGAAGAATTAAAATGAGAATCTGAAAAAGTTATATTTCTTATGTGATAAACGGTACATAGAGTCATCGAATTTTGAACGTAATCCTCCAACGAATAGACCGTGGAAGACCAAATTGGAAATTTGAAATTTGTTTTATGATCGATTTCCTATTTTTTAAACTTGACGAATTTTTGATTAAAAATCAAGGATTTCAAAGCGAGCAATGGCAACGTGGCAGAAAAAAACTTTTTATCTCCAGCGAGTGAGTCTCTGTATCGGAATTTAAAGCTATTCTCGTTTAAAACTATTTTGCGATATTGCTGTTGCACTGGATCTATGGTTAAGTGCGAGAACAGATATTTAATAAAAAAGTAACACATAAAATGTTAAAAAACGCCCCTTTGGACGTAATTTAAAATCTGAAAGATTTCAGATTTTGTTTTTTTTTTCATTATTTAATTTCTTCAAATATAATGCAGGACTCTAACATTTGGCAGCAACAGTTTGAAAAGTGAAACGGGCATTTATACAGTGTTTCAACGCAAAATCACAAAACGAAAACAATAGTCCTTCAGCGACAAATCCCCTTTGGACTAAAAATAACTTGCTCAATCATAAAAATAAATTAACTGTACATTAAGTGTTTCATAGTTATTATTAAAATGCAAGAGTTATGTAAAGAGAAACAAACAAAAATATGCCGGGTTCTTTATGCTCTGAATAATATTAATTTTATTTGCGCAACCAAATGAACTTATTCTCTGTATTATACTACTTGAAAATACCGGAAATGATTAACAGTATTTTTATACTAATTGTAATAGGACTGATACGTCTTTTTTGTTTGCTTTTAACTGCTTTTCAGTCAACCATAGGCTATATGTGGACAGGACGTTGCGCCCGGGTTTGCCATGGTTGACTGTGCAAAACAAGTATGAATCTTTTATTAATTCTTATAATACATTAAAGGTATTATCAGAATGGTCAAAACTGTATAACGGATTTCAAGCCATCTCATAACTAAATCATTAATTGACGGAAAATAGGAGGCTTTCAATATTACCAATGAGTAGGTAAAAATGTTTTCCAGTCTTGCAGCTGATATAGAAAGAAAATTATGACAATATTCAAGAGTAGATAAAAATTTTGCACTATGGAGATCATCTGTGAGAGCACAAAGGAAAATTAAAGTCTATGATAATACAAAATCCTTCGAAAAGATCGCAGGCGAAAATATCTCGTTGTGGAAAAGAAAGCAAAGATAAGACATCGTAGTTCTAAAACATCGTCGTCGAAAATAAAGCGGTTCAAAAACCTCGCGTTTTTAAAATAAAGTAGGGCAAAATACTGCGGTAAAAAAAAAAAGCATCTGCAAATTATCGAGTGATGATAACATCGCAGAAATTTTATTTCTAGTTATGTTTTACATTTTCGAATTAACTTTTAAATATTTGCTAAAAACCAAGAAAGAGATTAAAGTGTTCGAAATCTGAAACTATATAGAAATTAAATATTCATAATTAAAATAAATAAAGCCATATAAGAAATTAAAACCACATAGTTAAAATAAATACAGCTGTATAAGAAATTAAAGCTATATAAAGCTATTAAAGCTATATTATAGCAACTAACATAACTTAAAAACTTAACGAAGATGAGTAACTGCAAGAGGTTACCTGTATGAAAGCAGTTTAATTAACTATCAAATTATAAAATTAATTGTAATTAATTCTAAACATAACAGAAGTTTCAGATTTAATGTTTAAGATTCCTTTTTGCTTCTTAAAGTTTACTTTACTTATTGAGAAAGGCGTGTTACATCGAAAAGGAAAATTAATTGGAAGTGTCATTATCGAAGTCAACGTTTGAAATACTACTGCATTCAGCTGAAAACCAAAAATTGTTTATTTACGAAATATTTATTGCAAACACTGAAATAATTATAATATCGTTGTTTATCAGTAATCCTTGTTTTTAATAACAATAATCCTTAAAGTGCACATCCGCCAGCGAATGAAAAGTATAGACACTATGGAAAACAATTCTGTCTACTCATCCACCATCAAACAAACCTCATAGTTATCATAGAATTTCGTTCTGCTCAGGAGTATACCCAGTATTCTGTGCACTATTAGTCCCAGACCTATGAAGAAACTATTAGCGAGCAAAGAAACACCTTTCTTTCGTTTCAAGTGTCTAGATCTTTGCGTGCTTTTTACACACATTTGAATTACAGTTGTACCATTTGAGGAAAGTTATAATGGGTTCCAGTTAGAGATGCACCAAATTTCCCGTATCATATTCTCCACAGCTGCAATGTTGTCTTCCATGACTACTGAAGATGAAAAAAGAGAATTGCAAAATGGCTAGACTTCCATCTTCTCAGTCTATCTTCATACACTTATCGCTATACTGAATAATGCTCATCTAACGATGACCATGTACACCTACCTTTCATACTATCGCTTAACAAGAAATCCCATTGCATTTCACTATTCTTACTTGCTTGCAAAGATACTGCCACTTTATCCAACTTATTGTTACATTCTTATGCTTAATACTATCTAATAGTTCAAGTTCTTGCATACTGGATACAACCACACAAAGAAAGTGATTAAGAAAGTAAAAAATTGCAATATAAAAATTTCAGATTACAGTCTATCATCTCGAAGAGTTTGTAAGGTTAAACTTCAATCTGCTTGAACTAACTAGTCCAATACTTAAGCCTGCAGGATGAAATTTCGTTCCGGCTTCTGTTTACAAATTCAGAAGTTAAAACGGGTACACCACTAATGTGAAATCAAACAATTAAAATTTATTGGTGCCTTTAACTTGAAGTACAAACTAAACTAGCAAACACAAATTTACTTTCGTTTTTCGCAAGAATAACAAACACATGTAAACAAATAATTATAATCACAAGTTTAATTTTATGTTAGTACTTAGTTCGGTTGTTCACGTTCTACAGCTAACTATTTGCAGTTCAACATCAAAAAAGAAATGCATTGAATAAGATTTTATCTGCTTGCGACGGCTATAATACAGAAGAATTTTTTTAATGTGTACTGCTATATGTCATAATTCAAAATACCGCTATATGTTATGCAAAAAGAAAGCAAAATGATTCTGCAACTAAATATATCTTGAATGGGTAGTCGTATACCTATGGTTCCGGTTCAGAAAATGAATCAAAGAGGATACGTCTTCAAACTGCTTCACGTGTCATATTTTTGTAAATGTACATTAATTTTTATGAAAGCTATGTAAAAATGCAACACATGTCATTATGTGGGATGCTTTTCTTAGCGGAATTTAATATTAATAAGAATTCATTCTCAAACGATGCCTGCCAGAACCTATGCCAGTCCTTGCTTTCGTAATTGATTCTTATTCTATGTAAAACTCTTCTCATTTACATAATCTAGTGAATGCAGACGAAGCAGCAGAAGTATAGAAAAAATATTTTAAAATACGCAAAAGCATGCTATTTCAAATAAACCTAAAAAAAATCTAGTCTTCAGCAAAGATAAGGTGAGGCAGATTCAGGAAGATTATTTCTCGAATACTTTCCACAAGTATCCTGAAAAGAATAAAATGGATTTCCGGCTATTACAATTAGCAACAAGTCATGGAAAGTTTCCATCTTATTTCCAGCTATTCTTAAGAATATATGTAAGATGTGGGTGCAAAACACCAGTACACAATACAGTTTAGCAGATACTAAAAATTATATATGGCAATGTCCATTACCTTCAATTATTAGAACAAAGCATTCACCAGGATTTGCAACAAAAATTCTAGCTGTATGTCTGCACTTCAACAAATTATGAAATATACTATTGAAAAAGAAGGCACGGTGATTATAAATAATTAATCATTTTACATGAGTGAATTAGCAAGTATTTAAGAGCAAGTAAACAATATAACATATCCTGTCTACATTTGTAAAGATCAAGAGAACAAAAGAAAATTATATCAATTGGTCTTTCCATCTGCAAGATGTTATATATATTTTCCTTCCTTACTCCATTATTTCGTTACTTTATATATTTAACAAAGGACCAGTGGGTGCCGTTGACGAGGTTAATCAAATTTCCAGTCGAGCGCGGTGTTTCTGCTCTCAGCCTTATGGCTGCATATGCTGAGCGGATGGCTGATCAATTGTTTCGGCAATTTCGGGACAGGATTTAAAATTGTTTTCCCGCAGTCTTTTTCATTGAACGGAGCAGGAATTCAAAATATGCATAGATAAATAGATCAAATCTTAGTATGCTGATTCTTGTTTAGTGCCTAAACAGAGTTAAGAAGTTACGACAAGTGAACTAGTTTCAGTCTCCCAGAAGGTGCATTTATAGAATGTAAAATCACATGTTTAGGACGAGCTATTCAAATAGTGCCAAATGGTGGGGAGACGGCAAATTTTTATGATATTATTACATAAAAAATAAACGAAACTTGTGCACTTATTGAAAAAGTTTTAATTTTTTAAATCATAGTTATGAATTTATTTTCGTTGAATCGCTTGTGAATGAACAAATATTTCCCGCAAGTAAAATAGTAATGCTTAATGCTTTGCTAGTACCAGAAACCTGTTACATCAAATACGAGTCTTCTAGAGGTATTAGTAACAATACTTGTACCCTATTTTTACTGATATTTGCCTTTCAGATTACGTCGAAATCGGTTCTACGGAGCTAAACTCATGTGCCATCTGCCAGAGAACATTTCGGCCTGATGCTTTGGTAAGCCAGTTTTTATAGTTCTGTAAACAGAAATTTCTATTTAATGATTCTGTACGGTGGTTCATGTGGTAATCCACAGAAGAAGGGAGCGTTCTCTATTATTTCAAACAAATATATATATTTATTTTCACATAAGAAATGCACAATTATTAATTACAAGTTTATATCTACCGCTGACTTTGAGATGCCTGTCTGTAATTAACAAGATACACTCTTCCCGTAAATTCCATTTATGGCATTAATTCGATAAGTACACACACTATAGCTATTGTACAATTACCTCGATACTATCAAAACTCGAGTTAATTCCCTGTGGTCGCCATAGGGAACTGTCTAGTTTCTTTCCTCAACATATGAAGGGGGAGGGAAGTATCGCGGACTACAGTTGATAATATAGTTTTATGATTCCGTCATTTTGAAAGTTAAATACGGGTAATATGAAATTAAGGATATGTTTTTGAAGCACACATTTTGGAACCTAATTTAAGAACTAATAACTCTTACTTTCTTTAAGAGGATGGAAGGAAAGCAGTAAAAATTTAATTAGCTGCAGAGATTTCCAATTATCACGTTATAAATAAATGACCACGCATAATTATGCTTAATGACATTTTTGTGTAATTTCATGATAAAACTAGAAATTTTCATGATAAATGTTTCAGATCATGCATAGCGACAATTATATTCGAGTCCTAAAGCAGATATTATGGTATGACTTAAGTTGTTATCACATAGAAATTATTGTGGACAAATAGTTATTTAAAACAATTTTCTACCAGTTTTAAAACTGCTAAAAGAAAGTTACTCTTTTTATCCCCTACGAGCTAAAATTTACAGATTGTATAATTTTTACCTATCATCTGTCAGAACCAGACTAGGTTTCCTGCATTTAGGAACAGTACAGAAATTTTATCCCAAAATTCTATTTGTGTCAAACATTTTTGGTGTGTGATATATGCATATAAAATTCTACACAAAATATTTTCATACTTGAGAACATACAGAACATTTAAAAAATTTTGAGGAGCTAGGTATTCACGAAGAACATTTAATGATCCCATAGTAATGCAGAATTTTAGTGGTGTCTTAGAGATTTCGTTTGCATTATCATCATATTCGGAATGATTATCATCATATCATCAAAGATGTGTACTTCCGATGTTTTGGCAGAAGGCAATATTCTTCGCAAAAAAGCCTCATTTATAAGTGTGTGTTTTTCTGTACACTTACTGTTCATCATCTTAATAGACCAAAAATTGCAATGAATTTACTTTCTTAAATGCAACTAACAGCTGTTAAAGCATTGACATATTTCCAGGATGAAGAACTTATATTTTTCCTTTCCCTCTCATTTGATTCCCAATCCCAATTTCTGGAACAACACATTTTATTTATCTTTACTGTAAAACGCAAAGCTTTTTGTGACATATAAATCTAATGGCTGAAGCTCAGTTTTACGATTTTAGGAAACGAAAGTGTCCCATTTTCAAATACTAAATATAAATGCGATTAAAAAAAGAAAGGTTTGATTTTGCATTTTTCATAGCTCTCGTAATAAAGGCTGACCTCATTCACATTTTTTTATGTTTATGATGGTGCGTGGAAAAGATTCGTAGTTTTTAATACAAGGCAGTGTTTAATATTTTTCATTGGTAACAACCATTCACTGGTATTTTACAAAAAGGAGAACGGTTAAAATTTCGTTCTTGTATTTTCCTCTATGAGGTAATTTTCCAAGTACATTCTAAATCAAATCAAAAGTTAAAATAACTTCATCTGCATCAAAAAATGTTACTTTGCGAATAGTTTTCAATCAGCATATGGAAACAAGAGGCTTTTCAACCTCTGATAATCGATAGATTGACAGTTGACATTTTTTGATACAGCAAAAGCTGATGTGCGATTGGGAGATTTATAATAGACCCATCTCATCCTATTACAATGTAATTTATTCATCCGACGGAATCCATCTCAGACTTGCTGCCTGATTCCACTTACTGGGTTCGGATCTGAATCCTGCTTAAGGCGATGTAACGCCTTAAGCAGGCGAACAAAACTATGTGAATTATGAACAAAGTCCACAGCGATGTTGAAGAACTTAATGTTGTTCATCCGAAATTCTTTCGAACGGTTAGAAGTCATGGAAAAAATTAAGAAGATTCTTAGATTAAACTACTTGAGATGCTCTTAATCATGACTGCACGTCTATTTCAACTGGTAAATTTGGAAAAGTAGCTATGTCTTCAAGATGGAACTAATTATCTGAAAAGGAGCCATTAGTTATGCCTCTACAGTAGTAGGAAGTGAAAGAAAACCATTTCGGAGTGTACCTAAGGATTAGCTGCAATATGACGTTTGAAATGTAAAAGTCTGTTCGTACGTGGCATACAAAGGCGTCTTCTAAAACAACCAACTATAAGTGAGTTGTCTCTCGAATGTGAATTTCTGGGAAGAATTATGCAAACATTCTAGCTGAACATGTAGTTAAAAACTCTGATAGCACTGTAAAAACAATCACACAGTGCTTTTACCTTCCTCTCACTTGAAACTATTCTGAACAAAACCCTTTCAGAGAAATGGACGGAATGATGGAACAACACAGGAAGATACAAATGTTATCTTGTTTCACAGACTTTAAATTCATACGGTTGCACTAACAATATTTTAATAGGTCATGCACTATTTCCTGTGTACTTAACCGTATCAATGTACTTAATATTGACTTTATGACTATAGAAATATTGGTGATATGAGTCAATGTACTACATTTGATTACCCACTTATATAAAGATGACATCTGAAACGATTAACTGATGCTTTCGAAAAAGTCTGGGTTGGAAACACTTTAGCAAAAAGATAGCACAGAAAAAGAAGGCAGTATATATAGTGATTAATTTTGTTTACGCCTTTTCTGCATTATTTAATTTAGGCAGAGCAATTTCAATTAGAGTAACGTAACTGCCTTAATCTTGTCGCATATAAATTATTCATTGTGTAAGACTTTCACTGTGTAAATCTCAGTTACTGTAGAAAGTGACGAATCTTAAGAACTAGATACCGAAGAATCGCTTAAGTTCGTGTGACAAGAAACAACAAGATTGAAGGGTAACTAACCTTTTATATTATTAATAAGATTTAACAAACTCCGCCTGGGTGTACAATCAAAGCCGACACTTGGCTTGAACTTAAGAGCCTTAAAAACTAACTGAAACTAGATTACTAAAGAAATATAGCCGACCTATCAAGTTCTAATGCAGTTGGCCCCTTAAACACCAGATGACTGCGAAGCTATCAAGGACCTGAGTACGGCCGAGCTATAACAGCTTTGAGAGAGAGAGTGGCCAAAGGCAGACGCGCGTAAATCAGAAACTCTGATTCTCTCTCACTAAACCAAGAACTTCGCGGTTAAATACCGCTCTTCCTCATTATGTATCAAACTCATTCTAAAACTACGTCTGCCGAAGTAGTAAGTTTGAAGTTAAGAATTTGACAGAAAATGAACTTTAACTTAAAATTTAACTGTTAATAAAATTAACATAATTCTTACAGTTGTATTATATATATATTGTACCATATTCCCCAGCTTCACGCAGTAGGAGGTTTTATTACTGTATTTATCTAATACTGTATTATCTATTATTTTGCATTATATATAAATATTCTACTTCCTTTCGTGTTAACTCAAACGATGCTGTATACGTTCTAACATAGTCTAACTCAGCAGCAAGTAGTGTTACACATCATCATTTTCATTTATCTCACACTATATTCTGCATTGCTTTGAATCAGTAGCCTCTTGCATTAGTATTGAACTATATTTATCATTATCTTTGACTATACCGTATTATACTGTTAAATGTACGTTACTGTGCTATGCTATTCTTACATTATAGTATCTCACATTGTGTGCTGTGTTGCATGGTTCTTTGCGTTGATATTATTCGACGAATCTAACTTGTTTTTACTTCTTTTAATACGCTGAAAAAAGTTGAAAAACTATCATTGGTATTCAAAGAAGAAACATACAATTTAACATATAATATAACAGCCAAAGCTATATTTTATATGTTAAATTACATGACATTATATTTAACATAAGCTAACTGAAATTATTAAATATTATAATGCCCTAAATTATTATTAAACCTATTGTATTCTCGTTTGGTATAGTCTGTTGTATTGGTATAGCTTATTTCCTTTCTTACACTGTTTTTTGTTTGTAACTTGAACAACAATATTTCTGAAAGGCTCTGTTAACAATTCTGACAATTTCACAGATAATCCAAGTATTATAAAATGCAACTATTTCACTTCACTCGAACAACAAGACAGAGAACGTATACAGGGTGTAACGTAAATGTTGCGACAAATTTCTAGGGGAGGTAGGATACATCATAAGGATTAAGAATTGCATAGGAAACTATACCCGGAAATGTCAGGAGTAGGTGGTAGCAGAGATAGAAGATATGAAAAGAAGCAAGAGTTATTAATTTGAAACATTTATTGGACATGAATACAAATGGTGTATGACAGCTTGAATGTCAGAACAGATGCTCGAAGTTTCCACCATCAGACGCCAAACATGCCTGACACCGACAGACCATTTGAATGCCGCGAATTATTTGATCTTTCTGGAGCAGGTTCTTCCCGATTTCTTGACGATGTTCCACCAAATGTGAGGCGCAACATGTAATTCCAAAATAATGGGGCCCCTGCTCATTTTATACTGTATATTCGTAGTCATTCAGATCATTCCCGCATCGATGGATTGGGCTTGGTGGACCAGTTCTTTGGCCCTCACGCTCACCGCATTTAACAAGCCTTGATTTTTTTTTTCTGGGAAGCCATATGAAATGTCGCGTATGACGATCCTGTTGTGTCTGAAATGGATCGCGTGGCAAGACTCGCCTGCGCAACTGCTACAATCAAAGAGACTCCCGGTGTGTTTGAACATGTCCGGCAATGAATGGTCCGTCGGTGTTAGGCATGTTTGGCGTCTGATTGGTGCAAACTTCGTGCAACTGTTGTAACATTCATGTTCTCGTACACCATTTGTATTAATGTCCAATAAATGTTTCAAATTAATCACTCTTGTTTCTTTTTCCATGTTCTTCCTCCGCTACCACATACCGCTGACATTTCCGGGCACAAGTTCCTATGCAAGGTCTTAATCCTTATGATGTGCCCTACCTCCCCTAGAAGTTTGTCGCAACATTTACGGTACACCATGTATAACTACTATAATGAGTTTCTAGTCATTTTTAGGTTACCATCTTCAACAAAATTCCACGTACTATATTAATTTATGTTTTTGAATTTTGCCAATATTACGACTGCACACTGGGATTTCCTTGTTGACATGCGCAGTAAATGTAACACTGCTTATTCAATGTGCGGCATACCTTTGCGCCTTTTGCATACAGTCCGTCACATCTGTGGTACATTCTTGAAACGATCTACTAAATGAGACTATTAAATGGTAAGTTGTAAATAATTCGCGCAGAATGCCTGATAGTAAGTAACTAGCCTTCGAATTATCAACAATAAATGAATAAATATGCAATTTAAAGAAGTGTTATAATTTATGATAGTCGTGTAATATTAAAGTCAATACTCATATATGATGTCTAATGTCTTCTTGATGTTATATATTAAAATTATAAATCATATTGTTACTTGCATATGAGTTTGTAATGGGCTAAATGCACACAGAACCGATGATAGCTTGATAAAATTTATTTTTCTGAAAAGGAACAGCTGTGGAACTTTCCACTAAGTATTCGTATAGCTCCTCTCAGTATGAAAAATCACAATCAGTAATTACCCCTCCAAACTACTAAGAACAGTAAACGTAACACAATGTAAAGCGCATGACAACGAAGCTTGCAGGGAGATCTTTCAATACTCCGAAGTCGACTTTAAACTGAAAACCTGAGAACTGATGCTCTCTCTGGCCTTATGCAGTGTTCCTCCGGCTGGCGAGAAATTTCCAGTGATTTCCATCTTTCGAAATTACAGTAAGGCGTATCCGGTTTTCATTGCATATAAAGGCCGGATACAGTTACAGTTACATATAGGGAACAATTACAATTATTCAATTATAATACTAATTACAATGATACCGGCACCGGACCAAAATGTCACTAAATGGTCGCCAAATTTGGAGTCAGAACTTTGTCGCCAAAACCATTTCCAGCTTGGCAATATCTCGCCAATTTAGCGAGATAGCCATTTACCTCAATATTAAATAGACTTGTCTCTGTAATCTTATTTTTCCGACCAAGCTTCATTCTCTTCAGACTTCTCACGTTACATTACAAACTTCGTAACGATATGATTATACTTCTTCACAGTTCTCTTTGAAGTTGGTCTGATAAATGAGATAAAACCAAACTTGCGTTTTATTTTAATTATGATTTGTTGAGCTCCGAGCGAAAAGTTTTAAATAAACACTATTTTCTATCGGTTACTTTAATAATTATCATTCTTTTGAGTCAATTTGTGACCATAATATTATAATATTAAAGTATACTTCCTTATATGAGATTTCCTTGTTGATCGAACTAACCTAACGAATTTAAAGCTTTAATAGATCTAATCATCCGGTGATATGTGTTGGTAGATAATATTTGAATAAATAATTTCTGGAATTTGTAAGCAGGCAATCAGTGGGCATGATTTTCTTCATTCATTAAATTTTATTTGATAATATTTTATTTATGATCATCAAAATATCTCCGAAAAATTAATTATGATGGTATACCAAAAACCGACTGAAATAACTTTTTTAAACCTTTTATACTCTTTTTAATACATGTGAAACACTTTAATTAATTATCTAAACTTTTAACAGGAAAGACATCAAAAGATCTGCGAAAAGAATGCCACAAAGAAACGCAAGGTATTTGATTCTTCAAAACAAAGAGCCCCGGAAGAACTTAAGGAAATCGAAGTTTATTCTCGAGTTAAACCCACAGAAAAACCAGCCGCTAAGGTACGTAAAGTCATATTTTGTTGTTTTGTATATATAACCTTAATAATAATCAGCATACTATTCCATCACGTACATAATTATTTTGAAAAGCATTTCATTAAAAATATCCACTCAAACATTCAAACATTTCAGGTCTGAAAATACACTACTTAGTACTGAAAAATAAGCCGCCCAGACGGTATAATGTTTAGGGGAGTCTGACTGCGATACCGAAGGGCCTTTGTTCGAATCCCCGCGGAGGCATGGTTGTAAATGTCCGTCCATTCATTGGAGGCAATGGTGGCCCACCTATTAGGTGCCTCCATAGTAAAGAGACCACCGCACCTGGACTTAGTATAGATTAATGGACTCTGTTACAAAATTGTAACTGCTCACAATTTGCCATTGAAAAATATAAATGAGAAAAACATCAGTTATAAATAAAACAAGAGCAGTGTAAAACAAATACAAACAAATATTTGAGAAAATTTGTAACCAGAAAAATGCTTACACATGCGGATAAGTATATTACATAATTAATGACTGTAGTGCGTGATTTAACGTCGTTTGAATAAATGAGAAGGAACGTTGTTTTTACCAGTACAGTTTTCCTGAAGTGTATTGAATCTGCCACGTTGCAAAATAATATCTGCTGTAATCGGCAGCCAATTAACCAGTAATATCAAAATAACAACACTTTTGGAGGTCTAAATTTAAATTCGAAATTTGAGCCTATGGGGTTAAAAAAAGTATGTAATGCACTAACAGTCTGAAGACTTAAATGTGAAAATCATTCGTGGTAGATTTCTGTTGCACAATGTAGCAAGCCTTATGTAACCAATGAACCAAAAAATTCTCCAGAATGTAAACAAAAAAATATCCGACCTTCTTTTTATACGTCTATGCGTGAACGTCGAAGGTAGCGTTCATGATTTTCAGAAGCAATTCAAATGAAAAGATGCCATATTTACTTTATTTTGCTTGAAAATATGTAAAGAACATTACTTTACGTCCTTTTTGTGGCCTGTTAACCTGTCTGTAGATGATAATCGATGAAAAAGATTCTCTTGGTTATAAAACACATCCGGCGCCGGTAGCCGACATCTTGGATTGGATTATTTAATTATAGCAAAGTTCACGAGAGCTATCTGCCTCCGACATCTTGGATTTAGTTACATATTCGGAGAAAGTTGATAATAGTGAAGAGAAGATGTATCTTTGGATTTGTAGGAGGGCTTTCTATTCCCGTCACACTTTCTCAAGATGATGATAAACGGATATGTATTTTGAAAGGAGAATGAAGACGAAGACTACACTCAAAGCAAGAAAGTTACATGGAAGGAAACTGATGGAACATTACAAACTTTCATAAGATTTGTATTCTTTTGCGTTAGTACATGATGTACTAACGCTTCACTATATACACAGAAATTTTTTAAATTCCGGTGGCAATCTTGTAATCAGGCAGGCTTGCAATGTTATATGCCATCACACTAAACATTTTTATGTGACAATAAACATTGTAATTATAAAATGTTATTTAAGTTTCATTCCTGAAGTATAAATGTGTTGTAATTTTAAATAATCTGTACCAATATCAATTTTATTTATTTAATTGTGGCTGATAGATCAGAAAACACGACCAACGGACTTCACATGCTGCAGTTTCTCCAGGTGACGTTACGAAACAGGTAAGTTCCAGAAATATACATTCAGTTATCGGGAAAAATCTGTTATCCAGAATCGACGATGTTTTAGATTTGTCGGTTTAAAAAGATTCAATTGTATTTGCTTAAGGGGTGTTGGAACCCCAAAATCTTCAAAAAATTGTGATTTCGAATTTTTGCATTTTCAAATTCTCTACACTTTTATCTTTCTAAAATAACCATTCTTAATCTCTATGAAATTAGAACTGTAAAAAATCTATTTTAATTTGTCATCTACTGCTTTGATCAATGAGGACTTTTACATAAAAACGCGTTTTTCTCCAAACGTGATTTTTTTATACTCGATGTACCTTTTCTCAGGAACTACTGCTCACAGGTATCTAAACTTTTTATGGCTTATTCATTAGGTCCCCTAATACTTACTGAAATGAGCTTTTTGCAATAAACCTAGAAACAATTTTTTTTTAAATTTTTTTGTGTGAGAAAAGTGTTAAATTGTATTATGCCTAACAAAATATTCTGTAATTTACTCTAAAATTCAAAATGCTTCAAAAGCTCATTTCAGTGTAATCAGATAGGTATACTTTAATTACAGAAAAAATTTCAAGCTTGTATCTACAGCAGATTTTGAGAAAAGATACATCGAAAATGGCCAATTTAACATTGTCGGTATAGGGTACCCCTTAAAGTGTATAAAATTGATTGTACATAAAAGGCGGAGTTATGCTGAGGAATCATCTTCATATTTTCATGAACTACTAGTGAGCACACGAGTTTTAGACAATTTTAAAGCAAGTTTTATTATGTAAGCTTTGTAATTCTTAATAGATTTCGATGCAAAATATTTAGAGATGACAATACCAAGTAATATAAATTCTAATTTTTTTATCAAAAATTAATTTATTTATTGCTTTGAAAACTGACAATGAACATATTTCAAAATTAAACTTTTTTCTCCTAATTTCTTTTCTTTTCTTTTTTCTCTTTTTTTTTCTCTGGTGTGTGTGTGTGTGTGTGTGTTTTTATTTGTTAATTGAAAATTAGCAGCGAACATGTTTCAAAACTAAAACTGTCCTTCCCTAATATTTCTTTCTTTTTTTAAAATCTTCTTTTTTCTTTTTCTTCTTTTTTATTTTCAATCTCTGAATGGATTTCATGAGAAACATAATTCAAGGAAGACCAAGGAAATCAGTCTTGATATCTGAGCTGAGTGTAGCTGAGTGCTACTAGAGTAAAATTTACCGTTCTTTGCTGAATCAAACTGTTGAGCTTTTTCAGATTCAGCAAAATTGTCAATTTCAGACATTCTTCAAGCATAACAAGAACTATTCTAAATATTAAAAATCTGTTATACATAACGCTATGATCAAGGAGAATTTAGAATGAGAAAACTCTTGATGAGGCAATATAAAAATATTAAACTAATTACAAATTTCAAAAGCAGATGTCGGAAAAATCTTTTAAATGTTGAAACCGTAGAGACATTAGATTATTTCGAATCACGAGAGATAAAAAATGAGCAATGCCCTTGCTGGGACTCGAACCTCGGACCTTTCGAATACGTGCCGAGTGTGCTGACTACTACACCACGAAGGCATGCTAAGAGGGCGGGAGAAACACCTTATGTACTCCACCTTTTAAAGGGCGACTGGGGATTAAGAGACCCAGTCGCCAAATCCTAGGGGTGGAGAATCATCATCCACAACCTTTTGTTTAGTTCGGGAGCCACTGTAGAGATGAAAGTTTATTTCGAAGCAGGAAAGATGAAAAATGAGCAATGTCCTCGCCGGGACTCGAACCTCCGACCTGTCGAATACGTGCCGAGCGTGCTGACCACTGCTTCACGAAGGCATGAAGAAGGCGGGAGAAATACCTTATAAAAGTATTTTTAAAATGTCATTATAATGCGTTCTTCCAGAATTTTATAAACTGATAAAGACCATATGATTCAGTTTGACAAGCAACAAACTGCTGTTCTACGCGGTTGCGGAGCGGCATGAGTTACTTGACAAGTCATCCATATGCTGATGTCACAAATCACTTACCAATCAAGATCACGTGATCTAACATGGCGAAAATTATTGTGAAAATATTTTGTGCCATGCCTATTTGTCTGTGACATCATGCCCTCCAGCGTTATTAGGACATTATTGATTATAAGAAACATTATTTTGTCTACTATTCCTCTAGTTGTTTATAGCTGTTTTCTTTTTTTTTATAGATCGTTAATATAGCATTGCAATTAACTAATCAATATTCAAAAGATTCTTCTATTCTTTTGCATCGTAAATTATTATTGTTATTTTTTTTTTTTTTTGTTTTTTGTTTTAGGATAATGAAAAAAAGCCTAAGAGTAACTGGAGAGAAAAGCACGAGGAACTAATACAGACAATCAAAAAAGCCAGACAGAAAGATGATGGGAAGGCTGAACCGGAACCTGCGCAGAAGAAAAAAGTTCCTTCTGGTTTGACTCAAACTTATTTTTATACTCTCACGTTAAAAACCCAGTAGAACGTTTATCACATTAAACGTTGTTTTGTAATTGTGTGAATTTTGGTTAAGTTGTAATTATCAAAACCCGATTAAATTAAGACTATAGATTATCAGAAATACTATTAATATTTAATTTTCCGTTCATACGTTCATAAGCATACTTTGCATATTAAAGTAAGTAAAGTAAGTAAGCATAAAATACCAATTATATTGCGCAAAAATACGAGTGGTTTGTGAAATTCAAATCATTGTCATGCTCTGCGATATTATGGATCAAAAAATTACTTTCCTCAAGAATTTCTTTGTCTTTTGCTAATTTTCTAAAATAGCTTTTTAATATTTTAATCAGTTAAGACATACTTAAAATTATGCAAAATAGCAATCTTATTTTGGTGCAGATTTTGATAAAATTCTATCGATTTCGAAGTGGATTAGCCACACGTCCCTCTTTCTCAGGGAAAAAAATTCTGCGAAAAAAGGGAGGAGCGATGACCGTATTTATACGAAAACCAACAGGTTGAGCAATGTGAACATGAACGTAGCATCATCTGCCGAGGGAAATAATAATGAAATTTAAGATACTAAAAATTTTAAAGCTTTGTATATAAAGCGAAGACATAAAGTCCACAAGTATATAAAATGAAATTATAAGGAGCTGTATAAAAACGCAGCTGTATTAAACTCAAACTTGAAGCATGAATATTGATTGGCTTTGAATAAATCTTTTGTTGGCATTTTGTTCAATTTTATGTTTCAAATCTGAATTCAGTTTTCCTGATCTGAGCTGTTGTACTAACATCAAATTCAAAAAATATCCAGGAAAAGAAGGCAACACATTTTTATGTTAGTTTGCAATGATAATAATCTGTTCAGCGAAAATAGAAGTGCTTAAATCTCTGCTTCTTAGCTGTCTCATCCCTTCAAATTTAGTTGAATTCCATTGCCAAAAGATATAACTAGTAGAGACTTTGTTTCAGAGTAAAGACCATACGAACCGGAATGAAAAGTAATGCTTAGACCTCAGAAGAAGCAGGAATGTCCAGCTGCGTAAGAAATGTTTGATTTTGGGATAAATTTTGATGTGCCTTTGTCTTTTAATACCAGAATTTTCTAGCCAATAACATCATGGTTATATTGCACAACCAGAAATCGCAGTAGTAATTCCGGCGAAAGGTGTGGCTGCAACGGCCTTTCCCTCTGTATAACGTGAATGCGAGCCAATTTCCCTGAAACTTTCTTCACAGAAGCATCCCTTCCCTTACGAAGACTGCGTTTAAATGCTTTGCCATCATCTAAATAACCCGATAAATACTCTTTTATACAGTAAACGTTTTACAATTCCGTGTTTACTAAAATATTTTTGCCCTTGCGAATTTTACTCCTAAGGTTCTGAGCAGAACTTCTGATCTATGGTAATAATGTGAATTGTACACACAGAAAGGGAAATATATTGTGTAAGTAGTAATAAAAATATATTGAAACTAATAACTTTAGCAGACTACATTGAAATACGGGATATAATAATACACATATATCTGTTCAGTCTATGCTGTCTTCCTTCTTCACTTCAGCCTTTCTGCCATAAATGCTATATAACGAGCAATTTTTGGCTTTCAATTTTTAAGAACTTAAATGTGTAAAATACGAGAATTGCGCTAATAAGTATGACATTTCTTTCACGTAATTTCAGTAATTATCTTGTATCGGATTGTAAGATGTTTAATGAAGCTGGCTACTATAGAGTTCGGATCTGAAAGAAGCCATATGTGTTTATGCAGATGTTTTTGCAGAATCTTTGAGTGTAAAAGTCCTTAAAACTTGTTGAGTGGAAAGAAGTCTTTCAAATTGCTCTTAAGAAGAGGAACCTAAGTCAAATAAATCTCGAAACAGATAATTTTATTCTAAATTATGCCGATTTATAGGTTTCCTTTTCTCCTAATTTTTATTTTTACATTGGGTTGTTTCTCTTTGGATTACATTTTCGCTGATTAATTGCTTTTTTGAGAATTTTCTTGCTCTTTAACCGCTTAGCACTTATAGCCTTGTTCTGTTGCTCAGTTTGCAATTATACTAAGTATACATACATTCATTCTCGGTAGTGGGTAAAGTATTATTTTTTCATTTTCATTTATTAATTTTTGTTTTAATCTCTCTGTAATATTCTTGAATTTTATATTCATCAGATAATTCGGCAACATTTTACAAACATTGTTTTATTGTTATTATATTTGTTGTTACTTACTGTCGTTTTGAAATTTTTCTATTGCCTTTTTAGAGGTTTTGATATTTTAACCTATTTGTTCAGTTCCCTGCTATCACGGATGGACTTTCAGCATGTCAAGCCGAAAGCCCTCTTATATGGTTCCGTGGTAGGGAAACATACCATTAAACACCTAACCTGTAAAACTCGCATTCAAAACAGAAACAGTACTGAGCAAAGTCATACTGTTTACCTATTAGGAGCCTAAGGCCCATACCATCGAGAAATGGATTTCTACGTTCTTCCTCGATAAAGTTTTCTGATGTTGCTTTGGTGTTGAGTGAACAAGTGACATAAAGCACAGTAATAGCACATATGTAAAAAGCTTCAAACGAGATGCGAAAATTTCGATTCATTATTCGTAAGATCGTTCTAAGAGGTATGAGCATAAGCCCTAATCGCAGCAATAAAGTCTTCTTCTGCTACAAACAATTCCATTGATTTGCTTCAGACGACATTCTAAGACCATATTCTTTTAGCAACTCGATTTTTTTTTTTTTTTTCAATTTTATTTCAACGTTCTTAAACTAAATAATTTTTATTTTAAAAATATCAACCTTCTTGAAATTTTAAGAATTTAAATTATTTTTAATCTACAGTTGCGTTAAGGCATAATGCTGCAAACATTTCTTAATAAATAAAAGCTTTTTTAAAGGGAAAATTTTGTGATTTAATAAAATATATTAACAAAAAGCTTCCGAAAACTAAAGTAAAAATAATACTTTACCAAAAACTTTCCATCAAGGAAACAACTGCTTTTTTATTAAAAATGTTTTCTTCTAAAAACCTTCCGCATTATTTTTTATTACTATTGTAAATCTGCAATGTTTATGTTTCTTACAATTACGGTGAACATACATATGATTAAATCAAATTTTGACCTTCATTAAAATCGTTGTCATATTTTATTTAGATTATGTTCAATGCCCAGGCTGTCAAAGGAACTTTAATCAAAGAGCGGCCGAAAGGCATATTCCTTGGTGTCAACAGAAAAAATCAGAGACACCGAAATCTCCAGCAACGGATGAAGCTAAGGAAAAACTCATTGCGAGAGTTAAAGTAAGAAATTAGCTTTATATTATTTTCGTAATATTAATCTAAAATAAACAAGACTGCATTTAAATCGCTTGGATATCAAATTTATATTTGTATTTTTACTGACATTGCCAAAAATTTCGAGTATTATATATCAATAAAAATATCCATTTTGACCTTGACATTCGTACGCATTATTAAATTAGAATAATTCGAGGAAATAAGTTTAAATGAAGTTCAGTAAAAAATGTGCATAATTTAATAAGCCACATAAGGATGTCATGCGATGTCCACATCAGATTCTTTTACTGAATATTTGTGGTTTATTCTAATGCACTGCATATGGCTAATATGAATATATATGAAGACATCTGATTTATCGGACAATGTTAGAAGAAAGAGAAGCGCTACCGATATAGTGTAATGATATTTTTGCTAAGCATACATATTCACTTGTTTTAATTTTTATAAGGCGATTGGAAGAATTATTAGACAATAAAGCATACATAAATATACAATTTATTATCAAGCATATATAATTATCCAATATCCAATAGCTAATACATAAATATACAATTTTATATCAAGCATATATAATTGTCCAATATACAATAACTAATACATAAATATCCAACTTTATATATCCCGCTTAGAAAATAAAAAATACATGTGTTTAGAGACATTTGCAAGGCTATTGTGCAAGCGGTTCTTTGCCTAATTCTTTTGAATTAATACTAATATAAGATCAAGAAAAACTAAAGATCTAACAGGAAATTTTTACTGTGTAGCAATATTTTCTTAGTGAAAGGCAGTTAATCCTCTCACGGTGACCACCTCCCAAAAAAGATGACCTGTAGGAGATGATATAATAAACAGACATTAATAGAGAGACTGTGAATTATTCATTACAATGAACATCAGAGCATTTATTTTGACCTAAAATAATTTTAATGTGACTCGAAGATATCATTAATGTTGGTAATTTGTTTTCTTCTCTTAATGCAGTGAATATGAGCTAATTGCTTTTGAAAATCATTCAGGAAGGCATCCTTCTCATTATCAGGTGCAGGGAAGTTTAATAATTCCTTATATCATAGTGTGTATTGTGTAGTTAAGAACACTGTTTTCCTGTTTTCGACTAACCTGTAATCAATGGCTACCGCATATGAAAATTAGTAATTTGACTTGAATTGGTATCCCCGAAAATGAGTAAGACAACTCGTTTCCTGTATGTTTTCATAGTTTTTCCCATCTGTTACATGCATATGAGCTGTTTCCTTACGGAATTCCACGAAAGCATCACTTCTCCTAGAATATATAGCTTTAACATGCTTTGTATAAAAAATAAACAAACAAACATCTTGTTAAGACACAATAACACGCCGAACAAATACTAATTCAGAAGTCAAACAACAAAAATCAGCGTTATATTTTCAAATTTTCACAGGACTAGTTTCGATGGTTTTACCGAACCACCATCTTCAGCTGCAAAAGCGCAAATGAACGAGATAGGATATAATGGTCAGATAAGATAGAAAGCCTGGACAGAAAATAAGCTAGTGGCGCCATCTGTTGATGAAACCAGAACTAAAACATAATTTCTTTAAAGGCCGAAGGCAAAGATGGATTAGAATTAGGATCGTTAACTAGAACCGAAAAATTCTTTGAATGTAAAATGCCTCTAGAAAAATCCAGTTCTCCAATGCAAGATGTTTTTTGAATAATTTTGTCAGCTATAATAATAATTTTGGATAATTACCCATCAATAAAATTCCGAGTTCAATACTCAAGGACCCCATTCCGGATATAAATTCCAGGGGTATTTATAGGATTTCTTGCCAGTATGGTTTATTTTACATTGGCCAAACTAAGAGAACCTTAAAACTTCGCATCAAGGAACATAAGGCATATGTTAGAAAAAAGGAACCACAGAAGTCTTCTGTTGCCCAACATTGTTGGTCTGAAAATCACACTTTCAATTTTTCTGCTGCCAAAATTATTCAAAAAACAGCTTCTATTGGAGAACTGGATTTTCTAGAGGCATTTCACATTAAAAAAAAACCTTTCTGTTCTAGCTAACAATCCTAATTCCAATCCATCTTTGCTTTCGGCCTTTATAGAAATTATGTTTTTGTTCTAATTTCATCAACAGATGGCGCCACTAGCTTATTTTCTGTCCAGGCTTTCTTATCTTATCTGATTATTATATCCCATCTCGTTCATTCGCGCTTTTGCAGCTGAAGATGGTGGTTCGGTAAAAACCATCGAAACTAGTCCTGTGAAAATTTGAAAATATAACGCTAATTTTTGTTGTTTGACTTCTGAGTTAAACATCTTATCATTTATACTGGCCCATCAATACCCAATTGGATGAAACAGCTAAATTATGATGATTCTTCTCCTTACTGTTTCTTGCAGGCTGGCTTCGTTAAATTTTTATGAATTTTTCCATGTGAATGAGAATGATTTTCATAGATAGTCTTCCATGAGACCCTCCGTCATAAATGTGTCATATTTTAATGTTTGAAGTTAAAAACATAAACTAGTTTAGTCTTGTTCTTAATCTTGAAGTGCACAATGAGGGTCTGTGATAAAAAAGTGTTTTTATATCAAAATATGCAAAATTTACAAATGTCTCAACGAAGTCGTTATTATTTAGATTTTGAAACCTGGTTAAAATTTCTGCACTGGGATTTTACCCTCACAAAAGATATTTTTGTCTCAAATTTATTCTATCTTATCACAAAAAGTGAGAAATTATCATTTAAATTGCTTTCATCAAGAATTTGTATTACTACTTGATAAATAAATTTCACTTTTCTTATGTTATTTTGTTATGACACAAAAGTGGAATTCAAATCCTTAATTTGACTAATATAACAAAAAGAACAATGTGCGTTTCTTTCAGCAAAGAAGGAGTTATGAAGCCCAAGCCTTATTCTGTCTGAATAGAAAATGACAACTGAATAGAAAATGACGCAGTGACGTACGTACCTCCGGCAGAATTAGATTTGCTTCCATATCAAAATTATCTGTCTTCGAATATTACGTAATTTGAGCAATATTGAAGTTTAACAATGTCAGTAAAGTCTTTTAGCTTTAACTTACATCATGGAAGTATGTTTAGTTTCATGAGTTGAATAGTATTTCATAGAATTGTAAAGAATTCCAGCTGAAAAAGCACTTTGAAATTTGATTGATTATATTATCATTACCGGGACATTTAAAGAATTTAAAACTGTAACTGAGTATAATATTCTAACTCAGATAGAACTTAATAGTAGAAATATAATCCTACTTTTAGAATTCCATTGGCGGGATTTTAAGTTATAATCTTAAGTTTACTTTCAACACATTTCTTCAAGTCTTTAATCAGTTAAAGAATAGATTTAATTAAAGGTATTTCATATCGATTAAAATATTCATAGTTTCATTACGCACAGTGTCGACAAAAGTACTTACCCGGCCTTTACTTTCGCAACCGTTGGTCAGATACGCCCAATTATAAAAATGTTTTAAATGACGTAAATGTTCCTGTTCTTACATTTTTACATTTAAAGAAATCAATTTTGCAAAAATTACGAAATCTGATTTTTTATATATATACATACGCTTGTTCCTACACTTAGGTTTACGAAACTTTTGTACTCGTTATAAAGCATAAAACGCAAAATGGTTTGACTCCCATACGATAATAATTGACCAAGATATTTGGTATCAAAGTCAGGATATATATTCAGACACCGTACACAAATTGAAGGGAGAAATATTTGTATGTGCAGGTAACTATCAATAAAATAGTTTTGAAAATGTTTCTGAAGTTCAGAGATTAAATGAGGTGCATTTTTATACAAAATATTGCCAAAAGCATTGATCAATGTACTATTTTTCAAAACGGAGACCTGAATCAGAGTATTATACAATATTCATGTTTCAGAAAATACTGGCAATTTTTTGTATTGGTATGCAGCCGACTCGTAATATTATGTGCATTAGTTCAAGTGGGAAAATATTTGTATTTTTAATGACTTTTTCTTCGTTTACTAGATTATGATTCTAAATTATTAGAACTTCATGAGAATATTAATAATTTTAGACTTTAAAGCATAAATTACTTGGGTGAAAATTCTTTCAGCATGACAAGTATCGTGTAACAAAATTATAAATTAAAAGCACTAGTAAGTTACAAAACAGTATTACTGTACATCATTTAAGGAGACAATTCAATATCGAATTATTTTAATTCATTTATATACCAACCCCTCAGTGCACATTGAATACGAGGTCGAAAATCGCAAATTATGAGATTAAATATCTCTGTCAGTTTTGCTCTTAATGTAGCCAAACATTTTGTGTTTTATTTTTTATAACAAGTACAATTTTTCCTAAGTATAGGGACCTGAGAAGGGTTTAAAAAATTAAGTTTCGTAAGTTTTACAAAATTTATTTCTTTACATTAAAAAGTGCAAATGTATGAATATTTGTGTCATTTAAAACACTATGTCCACGACCAATGTTTGCGAAAGTAAAGGCTGGTAAGATTTTTGTTGGCACGATCTATATCTATTTCAGTTCTAATAAGTTTTTTCCGATAACCTTCGAAATAGCAAAATTCGCATCCACTAGCTTCTGTTAAAGATGACATTAACTACTTATTATATCAGCCGCCCAGACGGTATGGTGGTTAGGGAGGGCCTAATGCGATACCGAAGGGCCCGGATTCGAATTCCGGAGAAGGCGTGGACGCATGGTGTCTTTGTGCATGAGGGGCACTCTAAATACATGGCGAACCGGAAGTCCTCTCGAGATGTTAATGGTATGAGATAGAGGGGTGGGAGACACTCGGACCCGTCCTTTCCCCAGGGTGCTCTCCATCCCTTCATCCGAATTGAAGTGGAACTGAGCGAAGTCATACTGTGACCTATACGGTGCTCAAGGCTGCAGCCAACGACAGGCGCAATTTGCTCTCCTTGCCACGATGTTCGTCGGCTTGTTCTGCTGTTACTGTCAGACAAGAGAGATGAGTCACAACAACACTTATTTTATCTCTATTGTATGTGAATATCGCGAATGTTTTTCAGAACATTCTTGCTGTTTCTATAAGGTTTTCTCCCCCTGTTCTCTTACCACCTGCTTGGCTATGGTTAATGGTTAAAACCTCTGAATATTAGTAGTTCAACACGGATTTTCATTCAAGTGACCTAGATTACTGTAAGAGTCTTTTTCCGGTTTTCCTCATTTTAGCCTGAATATAAGCGAGTTTCTCTCGGAAAGTCTTCCACGAGGATATTATTCCTCTTAGGAATATAGTAGTTGGCTTTATCGTAATCCACTAATTCAAATACTCCAATCCTTTACCAACTAGGAAGTACCAGTAACCGTGTGGGTAAGACGTCTGTATGTTGGTTTTCTTAGTACTTTTTCCCGATTTGCTGCATGAATACGAGACAATTTCCATTAGCAAGTCTTCTACGGAGGCATCGCTTCCCTTAGCAGAAGCAGATAATATTTATGTGTTCCGTCCTATTCAAATAAACTAACCTAACCATACCATCTAAGAAAGAGAATGCAGCATAATTCATTGACTTTCCCATAAACGCTTGCGAATTCATTAACTTGACGGGGGAAAATGTAAAATTTCATGACTTTAATGTGAAGTCAGTAATTTTTTACTATGTTCTATTGCGTTCATTTTATAATTTCTGAAAATTGCAGTATCGTCCTCCACAAGGCAAATCTGTCGCCACGCAACGAAAAGCAAAGACTGCAGGAACTACGCAATCTTTGCCGAAGAAACAACCTGTAGAAAGGGAACAGATTTCACGTTCTTCACCTCCAACTCTTCTCGACAACAGGAATACAAAAAAGAGCGAGCCTGAAAAAAGGAATAACAATGGGATCCACTTAAAGTTGAGAAAAAGGTAATGCAGCTCTCTGTATATATACTCAATACTATATATATACGTATATATATATATATATATATATATGCTATATACATTTAAATATACATATACTCAATACTATATATATATATATATACTCAAACTCTGGTATTAAAAACAAAACTGGTATTTATATAATTTCAAACTCCGAAGCATTCATCCATCGAGGCCTGCATTCTGAACTGTGTATGTGTGTGAATTTAGTCTACATCTAAGTAATACTAATAATTTTGTATAATATTCTAATGTTTCCAAAACCTATCTAGTATTTCTAACATTTTAATATTCTAAACCTACTTTTAACACTTATACACCCTTTAGTCATACTACTTAAATATTATCTTTATAAATTCTAATGTAAGGGAAATGTCGTTTGCAGGAGTGGAAGTAAAAACACAGAAAAGGAGAAACTACTGTCAGATCCCCTCTCTCATCACATAATAAAATTCAAAGAACGATTCCCGAATCATACGAGTAAAAGGTAAGTTATTTTAATAATTTTTGTACACAATCAAAGTTATTATAAGGCAACGTAAATCTAAATATAATAATCTTGTGCAATATTTTGTGCATACATAATGCTTTGAACCTTCGTTTTTATATATTAAGGTAATTTCGGAAAAGTAGTGAAGTTCAAATATGCAATAAAAATAATATAAAAATGTATTGGTATTTATATAATCCCCTCTGACGAGTTATTATCATTTTCTGCCAAATAAATCTAATAACTATACTTTGTTGTCAAAAGACATTTAACTTTGTTGTCAAAAGACATTTAATGAACTGGGCAATGAATGTTGGACATGTTATAGTTTCTTGAAAACTCTATTTAGTTTAAACTGTGCTGATAGCATCAACGTAGTTTTATTCTACGAATGCAGGTTAATGAAAATTAAATGCTTTAGAAATGAATAGGTAATGTTTTAAGAAGCACAAATGGTCACTGCCTAAAACTATACTCACATGCAGAGCAAGCACTACTTAGTGAGAGACAGGAGAGGGAAAAAAGTACAAACACTGAACATAAGGAAATGGTTATTATAAGAAAAAGCTATTCATTTATTGAAAACAATTAATGGAGATTTTTATTTTAAATAGATTTAAGTTATAAAAAATAATTAAATTTTAAAATTTAGAATCCGGTAAACAGATGTAGTATATGTAAGCCAATTCATCGACAGCGAACAAATGACGAAAAGCAAGACTTCGGTCCTTAATTCCGGTCATTTGTTTCAAGTGAATAAATTGTTGAATATTCAAGACTCTAAAACGATATTTTTGTGTCGATGAAAAAATGCATTCAGATTGTATGACATTCAACTGATAGAAACATTTCATTTATTCTTGTTGTTTATTCTTTAGCATTTAATTCCTTGATTTTTTTAGCATTTGTAACAGCTTATCTGCTGATGTATTTTGTTTCAGGAATGTTGATTTAGAAGAGTCCTTAACTTCCGAACAATTCCACGAGTTGCTGAGCTGCAGTCGGATAAGCGAAAGATGTCCAAGAACTGTACCGGGTGTTCGTTTATCTGGAGGTCATCAGAGTAATAGAAATGAAAACTGGAATGACAGGTAATAAGTTTTCCATAATTTTAATTTTCTTTCGTATTATATTATTTCTTTATGATATTTTAAAAGTAGGCTAAACTATTTTAGAGCTATGTGAGGACGATAAGGTACGGAAATAATAATATTATCATTACTCTATAATACTTAGATTCAATATGGAAGTTCACTTTGACAAAATATTACTAAATTTCAATCAAAATTTAAAATATCCCGCATCTGTTTTACTTCTAAGAAATTTATTTCAAAAACTGGTTCTGACGGGTATTTCTGATCAGATTTCAGAATTATGAATTGCTAAGTACGCTATTTTTAACCCCTCCCAAAACACCAAATACTAACTCTTAAATAAGTTTTGGCATACAAAGGGATATGAGAAAGATAATTTGGCTACTTTGATAGAGGGTTTTTATGAAAGACGTGCTATCCTGCTCGATATGATTTGCGGTACTGACTGCCATATCCTTGAATTTGATATCGGGAAGCTCAAAATTTTGCATGTTTACAAACTCCTGCTGTCTTTGGTACATGGGGGCACTTAAAACATTATGATGTCAAAAGTCCTCTCTAAAGGCTACTAATAGAAGAAAACCCTCAAATCCGTCCCTCAAGGCTTCGCATCAAATTTGGGACTGATTTGAACTAATTCGTTCTGTAAGCTATAAGGTGCTTAAAACCTTGACTAAGGACATGTATGAATAGGGAACCTGATGAATATGTGAAGCTAATCTACATTGGGGGACCAGTCACAACATAAGAAAATAGATGCATTCTTTCGTACAATGTTACACTGAAAAGTTTAATAAAATCACAGATTCAGTTTGTTTTTCCTCGCGTTATCTAGTCTTCAGTATCGTTCTAATTGTTCATGTTTGTGTATCTGTGAGATGCTTATTTATTTTTAATCAACAGGAGGACTGATGTCAGCAGATCAGCCTCCAGTGGAAGTGGATCGACAAACAGGTTAGTTTCTAACAATAAACATAATATTATTTTTTATAAATAGCTTCTACTCTGTGAAAAGGTGTTGCCGTGAACATGTTAAGTGAAATGTAACTTCTGATCTGGAGTGTGATGAAGTTCTCCTCAACTAATTTCACATGAATATAACTTAGTTCGAGAAGCTGCCATTGGTATAATGCTTTGTTTAATTTCTTTTCGAAACAAGATCTCACAGAAAGGCAGACGTATCTACTTATTAATGACTAGTACTTATAATATTATATCAGAAATGTAACCTTAATGGAAGATTTGTCTGTTGTTCAACTGCTAAATAATAAACTTTACATAAATAAACTGAAACCTTGATGGGGGATGTACACATACAATATAACTTGCTATAACGACTATAAGAAGAGCAGCAGTCTGTTCCGATCTCATCAACATTTCACTTGATAAACAAATGGATAGTGAAGTTACAAGCCAGTTCCTAATATTGTAAACTTATTTAAAAGTAGATAATTTTTCACTAGGAAATTACAAGCTATCAAATGTTGATAAAGGTTACTGTTAATTTGTTCGCTTCTCAACTATTGTACATTTGCTTCTGTAAAAAGTGTTAAATACTCGTATTTAAAAATAAGAAAGGGTAGACCGAATTTCGAGCTTAAGCCGCTATAGTATCGGATACAAAATAAATTAAAAAAATTATCGTCTTCTTAAGTTAATACATGTCTATTAAACAGCACAATTCTATTAAACACAATAAATTTTAACCTACAACATTTCATACATATCCTATCACAGTTTTAATCAGTTTGTTACTTTCCCCAGGTGTCGAGAACCAAAATATACGCAGCTTTTAATACACGAGTATGTTTTAATAAACTTAAGATATTCTTTATTTCTTAAATAAAAATTATTTTCAACTTAGAAAATTATTTCGTTCATCATAAAACTTTTTTTTACTTTCTGAATAGATCATTCAGTTTCGACGCCGGATTGAATAGCTTTTTCCATGGAAAAGAATTAACTGAACATTTTTCTGATGGAAATTAATAGAATATGAAGGTTAATGAACGACATATGCAGCCACTTGTTCTGCGAAACTTGGCCACTCATTCAAACAGGGTGGACTAAAGCCACTTAAATTTAAATAGTTGTTCAGGAGGCAAAAGTGATTAAGAGATAACGTCTAAAATATTCGGTGGCTTGATTACCAGACAGCTTATATGAGGATAAATTGGCACTAAATTCTCAACGCAGATCGGATCAGCAGCTTTATAAATCATCAACTGTAAACAAACTTTTATGCAGTTTTGGAAAGACTTTCGCGATAATGCACATACTGTCTGTTTTTCTTAATATTTAAACATTCAGTTATTTGAGGTATATTTATCTCCAGTGTTTTTTCAGTTCAAATTCCTTTGTAGAAAGGATATTATTAACGTTTTTAATCTTTTCACTAAATTCGAAAAAATAAGACATGGGAAGAGCATGTTCTTTTCTTAAATTTCTGCTTAGTATCTCAAAGAACGTCTACAGAACAGTGTTTAATATTCACATGGTTACTGCCTACGACATGTTCATTTTTTCAACGCAGCTCTATCAGTTGCTTATAACTAGCAGTGTTCTTCCAACTATGTTACAATTTTTGGTTGCTTCAAAAGACTTAAATCGTGTAAATTATCTGGATCACAGTATAAAAGAACTCCGCAAATTGCAGTTTTAAATTGAGCTAAATGTAACCGTGGGCTTACATTAATACTACAGAAAATATCTATGCATTTTAAAAGAAATGAAAATACTCTGACATATTTATCTGTGCAGAGTATAATATTTATATACCAAGAACATCCCGGATATTAATGAGATAAATGCATTAGTTAAATAGACGTAAATATATATATATTATGTTTTTATAGTAACGGAAATTTATTGCCTTTAAAATAATAGAGCTTCCAATTAAACTTTAGAATAGTTCATAAAAATGGTACCTGATGGTAGTTATTAAGAACGAAACATACGCTTTTATGTTTGTGATGCCAAAAAAGGAGAAACTTTTCAAAGTTTTAAATGTTACAAAAGTAATCTTTATTAATTTAAAAGCTACGATTTATCGAATTTTAAACTCTACTTAGGCAGATAGCCCTCCAGTGCTTTGCAATATTTAAATAATCTGACGTAACTTAACATAACTTAATACCATCATTGATAGTTTCCTAACTCTATACAATTTAGAAAAAAATCTAAAACATTTCTGAAAAAAAAAAATATATGCTACTACATGCTACAGACAAAACGACCACTGTTTCAATACTAGTCGTTTTTCAGAAGATACAAACGGTTAAAAATATTTGATGTATACGTATCATCAAATGATATTATCAAAGAGAAGGTATTTTGTTGTTGTGTTAGAGATATTATGTTATTTCGAAGCAGAAGACATGAAAAATAAGCTATGTCTTCTCAGGGACTCGAATCTCGGACCTCTCGAATATCCGCCGAATGTCCTAACTGTTACACCACGAAGGCATGCTAAGAAGGAGGGAGAAATGCCTTATAGTTGAAGGTATTAGCTACCCAATATTGTGCTAAAAATATTGTCAATTATTAAAACAGTCAGAAAATCAGTTTTTGTCCGAATTTAATAATAGTTCCTACCTACTCCAAGAACAAGGTATCAGGAAAATTTTGGGAGTCATAACTAAAAGCAAGTACTCCAATGAAAGAAAGAATCTGAAAAACCTGACTCGTTTCAAAAGAATTCATCTTCGCTTACTGCTCCGAAAAAACGATAAAAGCTTGCCTGAGCAGGGCCAGAGCAAATCTTCGTAAGATAGACCAAAATAAAAATTAGAAAGCACTTTAAATTTTCACATCGAAGAGGACCTGAGTAATATACTGCTGCAATTTTTTATGTATAAATTATGTTGTTAACTTTAAAATAACTCAAGTTTTAATCAGTCTTATCCAGGGCGCTGTTTAGAAATAAATGTATAAAGAAATTTAAGAATCACAAAGCTAAAAACTGGCTTCATGTAGGCAGTCAGGCGATCTATCAGGCATCTTAGAATATTAGAGAAATAACTATATAACAGAGAAGAAAACCCAGAATGATTTTATATTATAACTTCAATTTAACAACTTCACAACTTATGTGACACAAAAAAGTGTCACAGATGATTATGGGATCTCACAGAGCAAAACATATGGCTCCAAACTTGTAAATGGCCTATTTCGTTAGATTTCGTTTAGACTTCTAAATACGCGAGTAAACACGGCTAGCTAAAGGAGATTTAGGTAACGTTAAGAGCTGAACGAGCATGAAGGTCAACGGTTGCTGCCGAAAACTCACTTCTGACTCTGTTCTTATATACACGTTAACTAATTTTTTATCATGGTGGGAGCCGACGGAAGTAGGAGTGACAGTAAATATAAAAATAATACGATAATGGGTTAATTAAAATAAAATCTTACATAGGCACTTTAAAAAACATAAGTTGTTCTCTTAAACTATTTTCATATATGCAGTAATAATTTAAAGCTTAATGTATTATATAATTTACTTCGTATGCCCTGTATTCACTGTATTGTTTCTTTTATTTAGTTGGAACAAAAAATTAATTAACCGCTCTTCAACCCTACCGGAAGTGTCAAGTAGTGAATTACCTGGTGTAACCTGGATGAACAAAGGATGTTGGAACGGAGATCTTGACAACTCCTTTAGTTCGACCGGAAGTAGTGGCAGTAGCAGCACAGGATCTTTACTACCCTTAAGTCGTGAGAGCAATGAAGATGTGCCAATGACATTCTACTGTCATCAATGCAGTAGCAAGTTTCCTCTCATAAGTGCAAAATACTGCTGTGAATGTGGAGCGAAAAGAAAAACTCCCACACCTATTTGCATAAGCCAGACTGGTTGAAAGAGATAACAAAATCTAGCGAGTTGTTAATTTGTAAACATCTGGTAGAAAAGACTACATTGATGAATGAATTTTCATTGATCATAAATTATTTATTTACCTTTTGGATATTCTTCTCATTACATAACTTTCCCTAAAAGAACTTGTACATATTTTGATGTAAAATAGACAAAGAATACATAGAGAGCATTTCACAAATTTACAAATTCGTCTCAAGAGTATCATGAAATATTATAGGGCTTTTATGTGTGTATTTTATATTAACAGTTTTTATTTTTTTCATCAATTAAGTACTAAAATACTTGCTAGAAGCATATAGTGAAAATTTTTAAAGGTTTGTAAGTTACATTCTTGGTTTTCGACCTGACGCTACTTTTGACAGGATTCTTCAGTTTGGAGGCTGAAGACTGAATATCTGTCACATTTACGAATCAAAAGTGGGTTTTGAGTTGCCATTTCATCGATTGTAAAGAAATGTGTTTGGAGAAGCAAACTCATTACCCATTTAGCTTATTCTTCAATAGTTTCATAGAAGACTGAAATACGAGCTATATACTTTATTTTTTACAATGGCATGATGCAACTACTAAATTTTAGATTCTGAACTTTAGAAACAATTAGGGCTTCCGCTTTCTTTGGTAATGGTCAGTATCACGAAAGAAAAAAACGTGCTGGAAGTTTTCTTCGGCTATTCCCATCCTTCATAATCACTTTCATCAAATCTTGATCTATTTCATCAACTGTAAAATAATAATTTACTTCAAAGAATTTGAGAGGGTTAGTTGTAAATAATCCCAACTCCGGCAGTTATTATTTGCTTACTACAAGATGTATCCAAGTGATAGGTTTTACTCATCATGTAGTTGACTAGTAAATCGGAGATCTAACATTAGCTTGCTTTACTACCGCATTGCACAGTAAGGTTAATAACTGCTATGCTGCTTCAAGGGGTCCTTGAAGATGGGAAGTGATCTTGGGAATCGGATGAGCTCTGCGGAGTAAAAGACCAAAACTTACTTCTGAGGCAAGTATGCACTTCGAGCTTTGTTGCAATATTTGTATTTCCTTCCTACTGTGATCATTGACTGGTCATCGAGGTGCTCCAATTGTTTGCTGGGGAAAATACATGCTGGCTGTACTGATATTTATTGCCAACTTTTTATACAGATAGCAAATAACAGTTGATGCGCCATTAGAAACGTTGATGTTATTTCTAATTTAGTGGTATTTTTTTGTTTTAATTCTTTGTGTTTGGTCATTTAAATTCCGCTTTAAAACAATACTAAAACTAATTACTGTACGAAATTACTGCATCATCCCTGGAATGCTGAAGTGGTAACGTGCAGCTAATAGTTAGAAAGTCTGTGATTCAAATTCTGACGAGAACACAATCAAATTTTGACATTTCATAGTCCGAAATGCTCTATTTTACATAATCTCTATTATGGCGGCCCACCAGCGGCCGAACGGTAAAGTCGCTGAACACTGGTAGTTCGATCCGAGTTTCGAATCCCGCGAACGGGCTGGCTGCATGGGCGTTTTCGTGGTTTCCCCCATGTGTAACGTGTATACGAGTCAGTTTCCCTTAGAAAGTCCTCCACGAAGTCATCTCTCCCCTTAGGCAGATAGCCCTAGTGTGCTTTGCCATAATTGAATACACCTACACCTATCTATTATGGCGTCCTAAGTAAGATGCAGTGGACGGCAATTCGTCACCATCTGTATCTGGTTGATTGAGTCTTGTGCCTCACCGGAACTGTCCTTTAATTGAGGAAAAATGTATAGAATTTTTCCTTACGTGCTTTCTTGACGTAAATGGTTAAATGATAAGTGTAATATCCGTTATTTGAATTACAAGAAGGTCACATCTATATTTTTACATTTCTTACCCCGAGAATTCTAATATGTTCTACAAATTTAGATCAGTGAGCCTATACATGCTCTAAAGTAAAATCTAAAGTGAAATGAAACGAAATTCTAAATTAAATTTCTTTCGGAATGCTTACAGATTTGTTATATTTTACAAGGAAGAAAATTCAGAAATGTTTATTACAAAGTAAGGCGACAACAAATTATTTCACAATTTAATCATAAGTTAACCCTCCATGTGGCGATGCTTTACAGAACTAGAATGGTGTGACTTTTAAAATGACAAATTCGGAGTTACATTTGTTTCTTGGAATCTGAGCTAGATTAGAGCTTAGAAATGCTAGTCTTTCTCAAATCGCCCATAATTTGTCACAACAGATATATCTAGGTATACTCGAAATTGAAGACTAATTGAGCTTTCTCTTGCATAGCTATTTCTAAAAATTGTGAAATTTATTTTCATTATTTGGAAACATTTATAACAATCAATGTAAATAATTAAAATTCGAAAGTTCATGCTTAAGCATTTTAATTGTCCAAGTTAAGAAACATGATTGTAAATATAAAATATTGTGGAGTTATGTAACTATGACAATGAATAAAAGAATGGATTAAACATGATGCATCTGTGTTAAATTTTCGAAAGTTTTATTCATTAGTATTTGTAATTAGTTTTTAACTGTGCTACGAATAAGACTGGAATGAAGAAAAATGTTTAAGCATTAGTGCATAAAAACACTTTATTGTCTAAGAATTAAGTATGAAAAATAACATATGCATTAGTTATTTCTTGCTTTATGATCTTCTCAGATATATTTACGTTATTTTTGATAATCTGACTTTCAATATAATATATAAACAGTATTAATGTTATCTCAAGCAACGACAATTTTAAACAATCTATTTTTACTGAACAATTTGGTAATAGTGAAAGCAGAAGTCGTTCTATCGTAATCACAATATGAAGCATAATTTCTTTTTTCTCTGTACATATGCAATGTTATCTGGTTGCTCTTTCTTAGAGTAGCACGGTAAAGACCAAGAAGGTGTTTAACGAAATTATAGTAAACATAGGGTATACTGGATAGAGCAAACGTAATGGATAGTGAAGAATTTTCCCGAAGTTTAGCTACATTCGTGTCTAGCTTCATATATTGTAAAAATAAGTGTCCAATATTCATGTGTTCTAGTGCTAAAGCCCGATACTGTATCGTGAAAATCCAATGTGTTGCGTTGGAAAAGGAAACACAGCATAAATCTTTGACTAAAACTTTGTTCTGAAGCAAACAATTTTATATTAATGGTTTCTTAGAACAGACAGCAGTGCTATAATAATAATCTCTCAGAGAAATATTTTACATTAATATGTCTTTTAAAAAATCAAAGATTTAAATCTCAGAATACTTTCACTCTTAAGAATTCGGTCAGCTTGTAAACTGTGTTTCTCTGTGAAACGAGGGTTACTGCAGAAAAAGCAATATGACAGGGGCACTCTCAATCATAGATAACAGCTTATACTCATAGATAACAGCTTCATGATTCACTATAATATATCTGAAGAATATATCAATCGCGATACTCGTGTGATAGATATGAATATAGTTTATATACATTGTTAAATATCATACAGAAGGACATTACTAGCTTAAAAGAAAGCAACAATAATGTGTACTGTGTACGATATTACGTATCGCGATATTAAATTAAGTAGTGCAAAGTTACCGTTTATATGAAATTATCGAACCCTGACATTTTAAGCAAATTCTAAATGAATTAATCGGTAATGAGAAAATACTGTACTTGTACTGCCCAATATCGCTACTGTTTCGAAAAATAATAGGAGTAACTATTCATGGCCGGTTCGAAGCGATCTTTATTTACTGCGTAGCATTATCGATCCAAACACACATATTTGAATTGGCATAAGAAGCGCGCATATCGTTCAATAATTATATGTGCAAGTTCACATTTTCATAGCATTAAAACTGATGAAGTTAAAGAGCAAATCGCATGTTAGATGGATAGAGACAAATCTGAGAATCCCGAGGATTATCTTAGACTTTTCCGATTAATAATAAGTTACTTCGCTAGTCGATATAAAAATATGGTATCGCTTAATTAGTATTGGCTTAAATAAGCTCAAGTCTACTAATAACTGGATAGAAGATTTAAATTTTATTTTTTGCTATTTTTAGGTGTAAAATATTGTAAGGGCTTATGTAAGAAACATATGACAGCACTTTAAAAAAGATTTATTTTAACATTTTATTATTTTTTACTATTTTTAGAACTGAAAGATGAAATAAGAAAGATACTGAAGGGCTACTTCAGACGGAAGTAACTGAAGTTAGAATTTTTTCCTTACACATTTACACACATATATATATATATATATATGTTTCATGAATGATATTAATTGTTTTATGTTTAGTATTCGTATAAATTTCATTTAACAGTGTAATACTACTTTAATGAATTAACAGTATAGTTTATAGGGTATTTCAACATAATTTTTATATTCATAACAAACATATCACACACTTGTTTACAAATGTATGCAAAAATTACAATCAGGGTTTAAATTCAAACATTCGTTTTCACTTTGGGGTTTCACGTATTGGCATCAAATTTATAAGCGCATTTGAATCGTATGAATTTCATGTGAATCTTTTATATAATAGCTTCTGAGATGCGTGGCATCCTGTGTAGCACAAAACTGGTTTGTAAGAAAGAGCACAATTTTTCGGATCTTTAAATTATTTTGATCCTTTATAAAATGCAATATTGTTCAAAAGAATCACTCCAATAAAAATATGTTATTATTATAACATATTTTTATTGGATGACGTGCTAGCCATTGCACTACAGGAGAAAACATCCTGGATCTGACAGTATTCTCACGATTAATAATTAATGAAAGACTGTCTGTCCCACTTTTGACCACTGCAAGTATACGTCCATGCCGTCCAACCGGGATAGTGGTTAACGACGCTGGCTACCCTACCGAAGGTTCGAACCCCGAAGAAGGCATAGATGTTTGTAAAGGAATCGTGCCTGTGCGGCATGGGGGTACTCTAAATATATGGCGAACCGAAAGTTCTCTCGAGAGGTTGGTTGTAGGAAGAAGAAAGGTGACCCTCGGACCACGTTTCCCTCCCCCCCCCCGGGGTGCTCTCCATCAAAATTGGGGGCGGAACTGAGCAAAGACGTACTGTCACCTGTATGGTGCTTCAGGCTCTTGCTAACGATAGGTGCTATTTTGCACTCCTTGGCACGGTGAATTTCGTGGGTTTGCTCTGATGTTGCTGTCAGACAAGTAAGATATGTCACAACAGCAACAAGTATACTTCCGTATTTTCAATCCAGTGCACAACGCCACTTCATTTACCTTCTACAATATTTTTCCCTATGTAAATATTAGGAATTTTCTGTATGTGTTAAAGGGGGGTTCGTTATTGGCATTACTGTGCACTATTGGTCATATTAATGACCCAATAGGTCATATAATGGGCTCAATAGAGCATAAATAATGAGTTTAAATTTTCTAAAGTTTAAAACCTGATATTCAACAACATTCGCAAGTAAATATTTAAGCTCGGTTTGTGTTCAAAATTAATGTTGTAAAATAAGCATCAGCATTTCTCAAATGCCAGGTCGTGACCCAGCACTAGGTCCAAAAGCAAAACGTCGGGAGGCAGATAAACTTAAAGAAATTATTTAGCTTTTATATTAGAATAATATGAAACTATATTTAGTCAATAGATGACGCCAAGATTAATGTCTTAATAGACGAAAGCAAAACTTAATTTAGCTTGCTGGAGTACGGTAGTAGACCCAAACAAGACTTTCGTATGAGGGCAACGACACTGAGTCTAGACTAGAGAGGTAAAGCATTGCTAGGTTCTACGTATTCCAGTCAACGTTTGGTAGCAACTTTTGGATTCTCAATCTCAGTGATTAGTTTAGAGTTATTAATTTAGATTACCGCGTACTTTTTTTGTACTTATTTACTATTAACTATAATATTATTATCACATCTAATTATCAAACGATAAATTGTTGATAAAAAAGTATATATGCCAGTTTTGACCGATAAGCAATCAAATAATGCCCAGACAGGAACAAATTTTGTTAGTGACATAAATAATAAACAACTACGTGACGTTAAGCCAAGCACGAATTCCGAGAATGGCACTAACTAACAGCTGCATGACGTGCTAGCCATTGCACTACAGGAGAAAACATCCTGGATCTGACAGTATTCTCACAATTATATCAAATTTAGTTTCATGGAAGCTGCAGATAGCGTGACATTCGTTATCTTGCCTTATCAAAGGAGTAACGTGAGATCTTCAACGTTAAAACGTACCTAGAACTACGATAACAAACTGATACATTTCTTTATAAATAAGAAGAAAAATTAATAGCTAGCAAATAGGTTATGTTTTCAAATTTTTTCAAAGGGCTTTCTCTAAAACTCTAGTTATATTTCTTATGAACTACCCCTGTTATTTAATAAAACTGGATATTTCATGCATTTGCTATGGTTTCGAAAATTTTTTAATGATTTTGAAAGAATTTCCACAAATTTACGAATATTACGCTGAGTCTAGTTGCCTGAACCACTCCAACAATTGTTATTCAGAGTGTTATTTTAACTCAGATTTGATTAGCTCCAAACAAGCTTCATTTTTTTCTGCTACAATTTTACATGTGATGTGCTCACCACTTTGTTCCAGCATTTTCTTCTTCCATGTGTCCAATCTCTTGGAATGTATAGTAACGAATATTACTCTGACTTTTTTTACCTTAAGACTCCTAATAAAGACCAAGAAAGTTACTTAAATATTATATTATGGGATGTAAATTACTTTGATGTAGCGGAACATTGCCAGTGAGCCAATAAAGGACTTTCCCAGCGGAACTACTTCGCCATCTGGCGAGGAACGCCTATTAACAGCTACCTTTTAAATCGTCAGCGTGATTTGTCCACGTTACTATGTGCTCCTAATAGAACTAACTACAATGTTTACTACGATGGTTCGTCCAGCTTAACAGTGTGTGTTTCTATCAAATCGTTTTGATAATATACTTGTTAATTTTTCTTATTATTAAACTGGCTGGTTTTCATTGATAACTTTATGGCTGTTATTATTAAATGAACATTGCTAGGCGTAATTGGTGCACTTAGGAAAGATTGCTGCTCTTGCTAAATATGTGAAACGACTTTCCTGCCACAGGAGTCAAGGTAATTTTCAGCAAAATTCCTCTAGGCAGGGTAGTTACAAGTACTAAAAACACCGATCAAGAAAAGTCACGATAGCGGCTTTCGAACGGAATACATAAGCTACAAGTTAACGGACAGTGTAATCATGTCGTATGTATGTTTGTGACAAGAAATCCAACTGAAAATTATTAATTGATTCTATGCGATATCTATTGCATCCCTCTCACAAATAACTTCAAAAATTAAAAACCTGAATCCCACCAATTGCATGTGGCCAACAATTCCAAAATTTCAACTTATGGATTAAAATTAATGAATGTGGGCATAGACGAAATTTTACTTGGAAATTTTTGATTGCTGCTGTTACTGTTTACGGCATTTTGATCTCTTAATT